ATCAATGCCGCTAGCTGGGTACTCCGAAAACAGACGTCCCGCTTGTACCCCAGGCACAAGCGGGACTAACCCATCACCCTCCTATCCTGGGTGTCTAGGTCCCCGTCCAAACTTGGACTCCAAGCCCCTACTCCTGAGTCCTAGACTCAGTGCGGTGCAAGGACCTCCACCATCCCCGCCTCCAATCAGTCGGTCTAGAAAGAGTTGGATTCCATGACAAGAGAGCAACGAGTCTTCCCTGCGGCGATACCCAAGTTTGTGCTCGGGATAATAAATCTGTGACTTGCCTCGAGACTTATGCAACGGCCGGTCCTTAACTGACATAGACAGGGAAAAAGTGTAGCCAAGCTATGCCCTGTTGACCGCAGGACACAACCTCTTACACCCACCAGTACCCAACCATATCCTTGCCCGATCACCATTTTCCTTTCCACCATTTTATCATGAGTGATCATAATTATACCTATTGCGAGTAACGGCAGATTACTCACGCTACCAAAATCCTAAGCATAGCAACTACTCGAATTATACTAGTAGGACTCATAGGTAGATATATTTATGCATGTAGTTTCCATAAAATGCCTGTAACGTAAATGCACATCATATATACTCAGTGATCATTTAATATAAGGGTTATGCACCGAGGCTTGCCATGGGTAGGCGGTGGGTCAGCAAAGTCAGCACCAAAAGGCTCTGGGGCTCCCTCCTGCACGAGGATCTCCTCCTCGTACTCCTCAATGACCTCTTCATAATCCTGTTCGTCCACGGGCATGAACTCTACCAACTCATGATCTAGATGCATGAAATGATGATGCAACACTTAGTAATACAACAACAACAGCCCTTAAAATAAAATACATCTATCAAGCTACTAAGTGAGTTCTACCGACTAAGATGCTAAGCTACCTACTGTTGCCACAAACAAGTATGAAGCATGCGATATATTATCATAGCAACTAAAGGTATTCTTACTCCTAATACCGATTTACTCTATATATGATAAAACAAGGATAATAGCTACTCTATTTATCAACCTACTCTTGGACTACAAAATTTACAGCAAGTACATAATAATCTAAAGAGCCTACCAAAAAAATTTCATAGCTAAAGCTATCACCAATTTGCCACAATAATTCCTACAAATATTAAGCTAAATAATACTAAGCTTTCTAAATTGAATTTATGAATCTATCATTCTTACATATAACTGTAAACTAACTACACTAACAGATAGATGGTATTTTTGTGAACCTAACAAATTTTGTTTCACTATTTTTGGACATCTACCGAATTTACTACAAATTATCAAAGTTCAGCTCAAAACTAAATTGAATAAGCATTCATACTTCACTGAAAAATGAAAAACCGATTTCTATTGCGCGGCCCAAATGTGCGCGGCTCGGCCAAGTCCAGCGCAACGCACACGCGCTACGCATGGTGCGGCCCATGCGGCGGCGCGGCCCAGCCAAGCGACGCCGGCCCGCAACGGGGAGGCCCGCGCGCGACGGCCGTTTTGCGAAAATGTCCTTGACCTACCGGCGAATCACCCTAAGACCCACAACACTGTTTCTACAGACAGCTACTTCACATATAAGCCCTCGGAATAAACCGTCTTCACAACAGCGACACCCCCGGCCACCCGCGCGAGCACCGGCTCGGCGGTGCTGGCACCGAGCGGTTATGCCGGCCAGACCAGCCCCTCCCCGCCCCTAATCTCGAGCCGATGCTCACCTAGGCGTAGACCCGAAGCGATTGGCGGTGAAGCGGTGAACAGAGTTGTTGTCCTGAGCTCCCTCCACGACGGCGGACTCCTACCTACGGCAGCGACCACGTTCCCATGAGCCAAGGAATCGACAACGTAAACGAGCTCAAGAATGGGCATCAATGACTCACCCCGAACCTACCAGACGTGGCGGACTGACTGGAGGAAGCTCGAGCCGAGATGGCCGCGTGCGCACGAATGGTGCGGTGGCGCACGACGGTGGCACGGCTCCGTTAGGGATGGCTAGGCAGCGATAGCGATTAGGAAAAGGTGGGCAGGGGGACGAGTGGGTGGAGGCGAAGCTGGCGGGGCAACTAATTGGACACGAGCAGCTTTGGAGAGGGGGCTGGCCGTCGACTCATGCCATGATGGTCTTAACAACCCAGCGAGAGGAAAACTCCAAATTGGAGCACAGCACAGTGGGGTCGGGTGGCTGGCTGACAACCCCATGAAGCCGTGCACAGAGTTAATTGAACCGAGGTGGCTCCTCCAGGCCGAATTGAAAAGCGCGGCTCAGAGACCATGGCGATAGCAGAATAGGGGAAAGCTGACATGGCTCGGCCTGTCGCTGCCATGGCGGGACGTGGCTGCCAACTCGGTACTCAATTGTGCACATGCTACAGGGCGGTGGGGAACAGCAAAACGTGCTCCAGATGACTGGCCGCACTGCGTAACACGCAAGCCAACGGCGGCTCGGTCCTTTGCACCGCAGTGGACGGCGCCGGCCAAGGAGAGGCTTTCGCATAGCGTCACATCAAGCTCAGACGTGATGGCAGAGGCATGCGGGGCAAGCTCACACGTGTGCAGCTGTGAAGGTCAACAGCAGCAGTGGCCGCGTGGCAGCGGCGACCGGAGCGCAGCGTAGCCGGGCCACAGCGCGACGCGACATTGGGCATCAGTGGCACCACGCAACAGCAGCTGAGCTGTCCAAGCCACAGGCCAGCCAAGGATGGCCACGCACACATGGTCCCGCGCAGGCGAGCACTAGGCGACAGGACGGTTCAGGCGAACGCAATGGTGGCGGCGGCAAAGTGGCTGGGCCCGCCAGCGTGACGTGCGCGTGCGGGCGTGAGACGCTTGGCAGAGCGCGGCCACAGCAGTGCGTGTGACGGTGGCCAGAGGTAGGCCCGGGCAGCGGTGCGTGCGGGTGCATGTGTGCGCGCGTCGGTGAACCAGCGCAGCGCGCCGAGCTAAGGCAGGGGTGACCGCGGCCAAACGTAGCAGCCATCGGTAACATGCCGTGCACGGTTTTTAAAGCGTCCCAAACATCCAACTCAATGATCCAAATGCTAAACCAACTATTTTACGCTCGAGATGGTATATCAAGCTACTAAACCCAACCATAAGACTACGCCACTGCTTAACCCAATTCCCCTATACAAATCATCGAACTTAGCTTCGTCGAACCATTTTCCGACTTACGAAAATTGACTAAGTTTCGAACCATTTATAGTCAAAGTTTAAAATGTTTGACTTTAGACAACATCAAAACGACTTCATTTAGGAATGTTTGACTCCTCGAAAAGTGACAATTCCATTCATTCCTGGGACGGAGTGAGTAACTAACAGTATATTGTTGTCCCAGAAAATACATAATTTTATTTCAACGCAACATTTGTTGAAATAGCCAACTATATTATAAATGATAAAAGAAGTATCACCATCTTCACAAGATCCCCAAAAACATATGCAGTTTTTCATTATATGAACACACACTAGCATGCACTAACCAGGTACTTGAATAAAGTCACCATCACTCCACTCAAAAATTTTAACAAAACCATGAAACTCTTTGTAGAAGGTCAGATACTCAACCCCAACAAATCCGAAGCAAATCTTGGGAGACCCAAAAATTTCAATCGTGGCTAGCTACAGCTATTCTTATTATCTTGATGATGACGGCTACAACAGGGGCATATATAATAGTTGATATAGTCAATAAAAAAATGCTTTGTTATGTGTCATTTGCTCCCATTGACTTGGAATTTGGTATCCGCTCTTGATGCATTGTACCTTAATGATGGTGTCATTTATTGACAAAACTAGAAGTCTAGAACACAACAATAGTTGATAGTCAATAAGATTGTTATCGGAAGCTTCCCTCGTTGATTACAAAATTAAAGCAATACACACAAGTTGGTATTTTTTTATCACTTGGCTTGGAGCCTTCCACCGGCACATAATAATTCTGTCTTCCATAGTACTCAGGACATGATTCAATACCATGGGATAATTATTAGCTAGCTACTTTTAATTTCAATTAGCTCTAGTGCATAAAAAGCTTCTAGGTGGACTAATTTCTTAGGCCCTATTTAGATCCAATGGGCTAAAGATTAGCCCTCCAATTTTAGCCACCTTTTAATCCTTGGGGATCCAAATATGAGGGCTAAAAGGAGGGGCTAATCTTTAGCCCTCTATTAACCCATTAGCCCTTCAAAGTAGGTTAAAAAGGGCTAAAAGTGCCAACATGAGACTTTACTCTCTTTCCCTCATCTTTCTCTTTCACCTTTTAGCCACCTTTTAGTCGTGTATCAAACAGGCCAAGGGGCTATTTAGCCCCTTCATTTCAAGAGCTAATCTTTAGCTTTGGACTAAACTTTAGCCCATGGGATCCAAACAGGGAGTTACACAGTCTCCAACTAGTTTTTAGCCAACAATAGGTGGACTAATTTTTGAGTCAAGTTTCTAACTACTCAATCCATTCTAAATTGTAAGACGTTTGACTTTTTTAACACCAAGTTTGACCACTTGTCTTATTCAAAAATTTATGTAAAATATCACTTCTTTCGTCGTGGTTTGGTTTATTAATAAAAATTCTTCAAGAATGACTTAAATTTGACTATATTTGCACAAATTTTTTGAATAAGACGAGTGGTCAAACTTAGGACCAAAAAAGTCAAACGTCTTACAATTTAGGATGGAAGGAGTAGTTTTTATCAAGCCTAACCAATAACTAGAATGTGTATCAAATAAACCCTCGTTAGAGATTAATATAATAGGATTCCTTTGCCACAATATTCACCAAAATACTAATAGTTTACTCTCCTATATGAATAAGGAGTATTTGTCCGTTGACTTTTTCCAAAGGACACTGACTAGCGGAGCATTGTGGGCCAATGGCATTCATGTCCCATCTTTAAAAGGCGGGCCGCAACGTGTCTTGAGATTCCGCAGCCCACCCCGCCCACGCCGCAACCGCAAAAGGCGAATCCGGAATCCCTGCCCTGCCGGAGCACAAATGGCGGCGGCCCCGTCCCCCTCCGTCCCCGCCTGCGGCGACCTCCCGGCCGCCGTATCCGCCTTCGCCGACGCGTTCGTGGATTTCGCCGTGTCCGGCATCTTCTTCCCAGCGACCTCCCCACCCTCCCCGTCGCCCCCTCCTCCCCCGACGACCCCGACCACGTTCCTCCCGTCCCCATCCCGGCTCGTCGCCATCGGAGACCTCCACGGGGACCTCCCCAAGTCCCTCTCCGCGCTCCGCCTCGCCGGCCTCGTGCCCCCGTCCAGCAGCCCCGACTCCTCCCCCTCCGCCTCCGCCTCATGGGCCGCGGGCCCCACCCTCGCCGTCCAGCTCGGCGACATCCTCGACCGCGGCGGTGACGAGCTCCGCCTCCTCTACCTCCTCCGCCGCCTCGCGCTCTCCGCTGAGGCCCGCGGCGGCGCGTTCCTCCCCATCCTCGGCAACCACGAGGTCATGAACGTCTCCGGCGACTTCCGCTTCGCCACGCCGCAGGGCCTCCAGGAGTTCTCCGCCTGGGCCGGGTGGTACCGCGCGGGGCTCGCCATCAAGCGCCGCTGCGGTGAGCACCTCGACCCGCAGCCGAGGAACCCCTTCCTCGGCGTGCCCAAGTCCTTCCCCGGCGTCAAGCCGGAGTTCTGGGACGGGATGCGGTCCCGCCTCGCCGCCCTCCGGCCCGACGGGCCCATTGCTCGCCGGTTCCTGGCCGACCTCCCGACCGTGCTTGTGGTGGGCGACTCGGTGTTCGTCCATGGGGGCCTCCTCGAGGCCAACGTCGAGTACGGCCTGGAGCGGATCAATGCGGAGGTCAGCCAGTGGATCCGTGGCGAGGGTGGCGACAATGGCAGGGCGCCCGAGTATGTGCGAGGCCGGGACGCCGTTGTCTGGCTCAGGAGGTTCTCGGACGGCTTCAATTGCGACTGCAAGAGGCTGGAGGGGGTGCTTGGGATGATCCCTGGTGCCAGGAGAATGGTGATGGGTCACACAATTCAGACAGTGGGGATCAATGCAGTGTGTAGCGCACAGGCGGTGCGGGTCGATGTGGGGCTGTCGAGGGGGTGCGGGAACGGGCTGCCAGAGGTGCTTGAGATTAATGCTGGTGGCGCTGAAGTCAGGGTTATCACGACGCCTCCCTCAGAGGCCTGGATGTATAGGAAGCAAGAGGTGGAGAAGGTTGCCGCAGCGGTCACGGAGAAGACCGGTGAGGTGAAGGATGGGCTTGCGTTGCTGGTAAGAGAGAGCCACGGTTTGAAAGAGGTAGGAGTTAAGGCTTAATTTAGTGGTAACTTCAGGCTAGGATTGTTTGGGTAACCCACAATTGGGATTACTTCGGTGAATTTGGTAAAGAAGAAGACTAGTTATGAGAGGGATTGTTTGTAGGAATCATTACTTGTTAGTGGGTTGGTATCCACAAAAGAAAGGAAGATCTGCCATGATGTTTTATTGTTCAAGATACGATAGTGGATTGATGATATATACCTACAATTAATGGTCCAATTCTGGAGTTGTTTCTGAACTTTGTGTAGTGTATTTTCCCAAAGGTACTTTACTGTTCATGCTGATAATCATGAACAGTTTTGGTTCCATTTGGTATAGAGAATCAACAGGACTGTCTCCGGAACCCTTTTTTGGCTGATTGGCTACAGTTTGGCTTTGGTTTTGGCATATCGCCAACCTTGCAGAAAATACCGGACTCGCAACAATACCAATTCCTTTTATTCCAAGGCGAAGATTCAATCACTTAGCCAACATCAAGAAGTTATTGGCACCTTGTTGAATCGAAATAAAGAATATCCATCTTTGATGATTTTGTTGGCATCCAACTGTTCTCGAATTGGTTTATTCAAGAATTCGAAATATCCCAATGCGGTAAAAGAATCGAATCCTAGAATTCCTATTCGAGATATTTTTGGGCTCTTAGGCGTTATTGTACCTAGTATATCGATTTTTTTCTTCATTTAGTAGCCAAGTTCCTGAAGGGTGGGCCTGGTGCAAGCGGTAGAGTCTTACCGCCTGTGATCGGAAGGTCTCGGGTTCGAGTCGCGGTCTCCTCGCATTGCACAGGCGAGGGTAAGGCTTGCCATTAACACCCTTCCCCCGACCCCGCACAGAGCGGGAGCTCTCTGCACTAGGTACGCCCTTTTTTAGTAGCCAAGTTCCTAATTAAGCCTGTACTGTGGATACTGTCTCATTAAGTTCACTGATCCGAAATTGTCAGCTGAAGCTATCATTTGATTCTTTGGAGCCCATGGATTTGACATCTATGTTCAGTTTTCATTTGTACAAACACCATAGTCAATAATTGATGATTGTACAAGGAAAATAACCAGTTGGAGCGCTGAAGTGACAGACCAGCTGAAATGAATATGACACAACAGAAGTTTGGTAATTATGAGAAGCATCAAGGAAATAGTCTTCTCCTCGCAGGGACAATGGCAACACTTACTGACAAGTTGATCAAGTGGAGGGAATTTATAGCAAGATAGAGAGTTGTTAAGGTAGCTCTGAAATGGAGGTAATGGTCCTTGTGTCCCCATTCTCCGTATTTGTTGTTGAACATCACACTATCAATGCTGATTGATGTGTAGAAGTTGAGATGTGCACATTTCTGCAGTTGTTTTAGTGGAATAATACTGCATAACCTAACCAGGCATGATCGTATATGAAATTCTGCTAATGCAACTTAAATATGTCTCCTGGAACATGATTGCTGTTACAGTGCGCATGCAACATGTGTGAGGGTGATAGGCTATGTGCATATCCTAACAATTAGTGAGAAGTTTGGTCATGGCTTGATTACTATTCATAAGGATGTGTATGTTGTGCGGAAAAGGAATTTGACAAGTGGATAGCATTGCCATGCGGATCAGCAAATAGACAAGGAAAGGTATCTCTAGTGTGATTTGCATTTGCATCTTGTAGGCCTTTTTTCCACAAAATTTCTCATCACTTGGTTGTTGAATTGGTCTCGTGTTCCTATCTCCTCGTCTTGTCTCCAAACTGTCTGGTGTAGATGTTTTCCATGTTTGGTCCACCAATTTTCTCATGTGCTCAATGCACTCTGACGTCGATGTGTTCAGACTTCTCAAGGCAGTTTGTAGTGATTTGGACACCTAAATTTATCCACTGATTTCTTGTCTTGTGCTCTGATATGATGTGCAATCTTTCTATTGTTTTTGCGGCGGGCTAGTGGAAATGTGATTGACAGTTTTATTACCTTTTGTTGGTGGTGCATAGTCCAATTTGTGCTGGCAGGTGCTCTAAATGCTCCTAAACTGAACAAAAAAAACGTGATGCCACTGAAGTTTGCATGTGCAATCAGTGCTTTTCTTCTCTCGAGTCCTAGCAGAAGGATTGAAGAATTGCTTTTATCTGTTGTTTGCTACTATAGTCCAGACTCCAGAGTTTGACTGTTCAGCGTGGTGGAATTTTCATCGTTGCAGAACTTCGAAACAAAATTGTCTGATTGAAGTGCCTGAAAATAAAAGGTTGAGAGTGAAATATTCTGATTCAAGTGCCTGAAAAATGGTTCTGTTTTCTCCAAACGATTATCTTCCCATTAGCACGGGGAGTACCTTTACAGTAGCATGAATTTTTTTTTTTGAACGCAATGGCAGGAGTTCTGCCTTTCAATTAAGATAGGGAAAGAAAGTTTATGTACAAACAAAGACACTCGAGATTAGGGTTTCAAACCCCCACAAGCATGTAAAGGAGGGAAACGCACGGCCCAAAGGGGGGGGGGACAACAGCTAAACATAAGCGAGTGCAGTCTTCCTTTGCTCTATGTCTTCCTTTATCTTTGCGGCTACTTGCGGCACCGTTTCTATCTTGTTGTCGAAAATTCTCCTGTTTCTCTCTTTCCAAATATTCCAAAAGGTGTAGATTACTACCCCGTTAAGCCGCCTACGCTTAGATCTTAGCACTTTTCTTGCCGCCTCTTCCCACCATGACCTGATATGGGTGGGGTCTACCTGGGGTCGCTGTTGAAGTTGAGTGAAGTTTTCCCACGAGAGGATTTGATCCCAAACCTTCTTTGCAAAAGGGCACCATAGGCACAGGTGGAGGGCGGTCTCTAAGGGACTGTTGCACAGCACGCATTGTTGTTGGTGTGGCCACCCTCTCCTTTGTAGGTTTTGTGCCATTAGAATTTTATCCTACACTAAGATCCAGGCGAAGATCTTGCATTTGTTCTCCACATGCGCTTTCCAAATGAAATCCGTAAGGAAGGGGACGAGCGAGCCTTTGAACTGAATTCTGTAGGCCGAGCGGGTGGAGTAATTCCCATCCTTGGTCCATCGCCAGATGATTGTGTCCTGGACGCCCTGTTGTAGGTGCACATCCTGTATTCATATCCAAAGTGACACAAACTCCTCTATGTGGATAGCCGAGGTGATTTTCCTTCCTAGCTTGTGCATCCAATTGTTGTTTCGGAGCTCTTGTTGCACCGTTCGGTTTCTCCTTGAAACTAGGCGAAACAAGTTCGGGCTAGGTACCTAGGAGCTTGTCCATCAAGCCAATTGTGGTGCCAAAACTTAGTCTTTGCACCGTCCCCCAAAGATATGATGATTGAGGAGTTAAAGAGGAGACAATCATCATCAGAACATGGAAGCTCTGAGCCGCTCCAAGACTTGGAATCGTCCATCCATTCTTGCCAAAGCCATCGCAACCGAAGGGCTCTCCCAAACCTATCGAGGTCAGGGACGCCTAAACCACCAAGGTCTTTTGGTCTGGTCACTGTTTTCCAGTTAACTAGGCAGTGTCCGCCGTTGGCATACTCCTCCCCCTTCCACAAGAAAGATCTCTTGATTTTGTCGATCTTTTTCTTAGCCCATGTAGCTAGAGGGAACACTGTCAGGTGGTAGGTTGGCATGGAGGAGAGGACCGAGGTCACTAGAGTGAGACGTCCCGCTCTGTTTAGCCATCTTCCTTTTCATTTGGGTAACCTTTGCCCAACGTGGTCTATGAGAGGTTGCACATGTATCTTTTGCAGTGATCTGATGTGGAGTTGCAGCCCCAAATATTTGCATGGGAAGCCCCCTCTAGTACCGGTGAAAGGTGACAGAACTTGGTCTAGGTCTATGTTTTCACAACTGATTGGATGCACTGAGCTCTTTTGAAGATTAATATGGAGTCCCGAGAATGTGCCAAAAGCCTGTAGGATGATTTTGACAGCTTCTACATCGTCTTTTGTCGGGCTGATGAAAATGGCCGCATTGTCTGCATACATAGAGGTTCTCCATTTTGCCACCGTGATTGGTAAGGGGGTGAGTATCCCATGTTCGGTTGCTTTGTCAAGCAAACGTTGGAGCGGGTCCATAGCTAGGATGAATAGCATGGGTGAAAGCAGATCCCCCTGCTGGACGCCTCTGGCATGGCTAAAAGTGCCCCCCTGCTGTCCATTAAGCAAGGGTGTCGAGGTCAATGTGCGTAGGAGGATAGAGATCCATTCACGCCATTGCTGTCCGAAACCCAGAGCCTGCAGAATCTCAAGCAAGTACCCCCAATGTACCGTATCAAAAGCTTTGTGGATGTCTAGTTTCATGAACAAAGCCGGTATCTTCTGCTTGTGTAGCCTTTGTACCGCGCCCTAGACGTAAAGAAAGTTATAATGGATGCTTCTTTTTTTTATAAATGCGCTTTGGCAGTTGGAGACGAGGGCGTTCAGTCGAGGGGCAAGTCTGTTAGCTAACACTTTGGAGAAGATCTTTGCAATGCTATGGACGAGGCTGATGGGTCTAAAATCAGTAACTCTTGTTGCATCCGTTTTTTTGGGTAGAAGGATGATGCAAGCCGAGTTAAGCCATTCAAAGCCCTGGGCATTCAATGTGAATAGGCTGTTCATGGCTGTCATAACATCATCTTTAATGATTTTCCAACAAGCTTTGAAGAAGGCACCCGTGAAGCCATCTAGGCCTGGCGCTTTGTCGGAGGGCATGGAATATATAGTGTTTTTTATCTCTTCCTGGGAGAAAGGCACCTCCAGATCAGAGAGATCATGTTGGTTGTAGCCAAGGGATTGCCAATTGACTGTGGAAGCTCTCGGAACCGCGAAGCCAATGTGATTTTTAAAATAATCTCGTATCACCTTTTCTTTCTCATAATGAGCAACCGCGATCTCCTCATCCGTATGTAGACAATGTATGTAATTCTTCCTCCGGCGTGCATTGGCTCTACTGTGGAAGAATTTTGTGTTAGCATCTCCACACCGGATGTATGTTAGCCTCGATCTCTGTCTGATTCTTGATTTTTCAATGGCTGGGAGACCAGTGCTACGG